TATTATTGAAGACTAGACTAAAAAAGAAAGAAGTGAAAAAGAAAACGAAAATAATATGATGAAAAGAAAAGAAAGAAAATAAACTGGAAAAAATATTTTGTATTAGGTTAGTCAAACAGACACCACTTATTAAAAATAATAAAAGTTTTAATCTTTTAACATGAATTATAATAATCTAGTTGTTTGATTTGGCAAACGAAGAGTAAATGAGAAGTTTCCGGCATTATAATCATAAAAAATAAGAAAAAAAAGAATTATTTTTTAAAATTAATTTAATTAAATTTTTGTAATATTAAGACATTCGTAATTATTATAATTTTGTAAAGTTAAAATAAAAAATTAAAGATTCCTCAAGTAAGCAAATGAAAACACGTGTAAAATTGTACAAGTCAACGTGTGAATGATACCTATAATGGGGTATAATTAATATGAGTATGTTGTACATAGTACCAAAACTATTCGCTCTCGCCAACGATATGCATAGCTTGGTTTTAAGCAATTTTTTTTTGTTTCTAATTATGTGAATTTAGACATGCCCTTACAAATCGCAGTTATGCCCTTACAAAGTAAAATAATTGCAGTTTTTCGGGACACGCAAATATGCAATTTTTAGTTTTACAACTGTTTGATTGCTTATTTGTATTTTATAGGTTTATACTCAAGCGCGCCCACGAGCTACTGTATGATTCCATGAATTAAACAATCAAACAGTTGGTACTTTTTCACAAACTCATTGCAACTTTTAGTTAACGCAATCGATTTGCATTGACACATTATTGTAGTCGCTTAGATGTACACGCGCAACGATTTTACAATCAATCAGTAATTGCAAAGCTTAAAATTGCATGTCTGCCTGAACCCAAAAAACTTCAATTATTTTACTTTAGTATAGATTTGTAACATACTCAAGTAATTCCTCAACATCCGACATTTTTCAAATATGTATACTATTTGCACTGATGTTAGAGTTTGATAAGGTCTGACAGAAATACGATCTTTTTCTGGCAATAATTTTTAAAACAGTAATGGTGTAGATGGAGTTACTATTACAGCTATTATAGAAATGTTTCAAAATAAAAATTTCAAATTATTCGAATTTCAAAATTTACTGAAAATAAATTACTCCTATTATTTTTGTTCTCTTCATATTTTATGATTTAAATTTATCTAATTATATTTAAAGGGATGCTATTATAAGGTGTAGGCATGATTATTTTAAAAAAATTTCAACAGAATTTCTTCATTTCTGTGCTAATAAGAAAACTAAATATGAAAAAATAAAAAACAAAAATTTTTTTTTGCACATTTCAAAATCTATTTTTTTTTTCTTATTTTCTATTTTTCTTTCTTATTCTCTATAATTTATATTTTTATAAACTTGTCAAAACTAAAACCATCATCAGGCACCGCTAAAAACGAAAAATTGTTTATTGCATAATTTTTTGAAGTTTTTAAGTCACACATATAAAAATTGATAATTATTCGAAAATTTCAAATAATTGTGTAGTGTGTTGTCTTGTCGACTGTCATGCATCTAAACGGGGCTCTCTTTATTATTTACTTTTGACTTTGATATTTTTATTTTATAAAATTTTTTTTTTATTAAAATTATCATGAGTAGATGACAATAGAAAATTGTGTTTTTTTTTCCTTAATAGAAAATTTCGTATTAAGTGAATTAATTTAAGGTAATCGGTTGAGAAAAGAAACTGAAAATGGTATTAAGATGAGATGATGTCATTTTAATTTCAAGTAGAGATTTCAAATAATGATATTGTGTCATTTTATTTATTGCATTTTTTTAAAATGAAATGGTTAGAGGAAAAAAATGCATTCATTGCATTCAAAATTTTTATTTTTATTTTTATAATATATTCAAATTTTTGTTAAAAGAACTTGCATAAAATTTGGTAACCTAAATATAAGTATATGTAAATATGTTTATTAAAACAACAACAAACAAAAAACGAGGAGAACAATGAGAACAAAAATTATTTTAACCTCTTTTTTTTTTGTTTTTGTAGACAAGAGCATATTTTTTAGGTTATAATAACCTTGTTCTGAATTATAGTTTCTAACAATTTTGTACAAAATATTGTTGTAATTCAAATCACTATGAATTTGAAAACAAAAAAAAAAAATATTTATCCAGATTACATTTTGTATACGTGAGCAATCATGTATGTATATTAATGAATGTATGTATAGATAATTTATGCATGTGCATAAAAGAAGCATTAATCAAATTGAAAATTTTTTGTAATTTTTTGTAATTTGAGGTTTTCGAACAGAAATATGAAAAACTTTCTTTTAAATACATACATACATATGTAATTTATTTTCTATATTCTTATTGAATATTAAAAAAAAGAAAGAATATAATGTAGTTTTTAGGTTATTGGTTGTATATACATATAATCAGTAGTATTTCTAGAATTCGATTTAGAATTTAGAACTTTTGACGGCAAACAACAACTTGAATTTATGGGTGACAACTGATCCTAACGTTATTTTTTCCAAAAAACGTGAAAAATATTATGGTCCGGAGCACAAATTGCTAAAACACTGCAATTATTACACATTAAACAACTTCTTGAACGTATTCTTTGTATGTAATCAATATTTTGACAGCTACTATCTCTTGTTTACATGCGAAAACACAAAAAAAAGAGGGAATATGAATTAGCTGTAAATTTTGACTTGTAGAATTTAATATAAATTTCAATGTAATTTTGCTGAATTTATAAAGATGTAATTCAGCAGGCATAGAAAAAGCCGATTTTAAATTTTAACATTATTGTCAGAAGCTGTCATATTTTTTGAAATTTCTTGAAAACGGTAAATAATATTCGTTTAGGGATCAACATTTTCTTTATTTACATTTACATACATATGTACATATATTTTTGGTGAAAATTGTCTATCTTAATTAAATATTATAATACCAATTACAATTTAATATTGCTCAAATGACATTGAGTTTAGGTTACATTGAAATTATACCTACTCGTATTATTTTTATTAAATTATTTTTTATTTATATATTTAGTTCAAACAAGATTATAATGTAAAAATTTATTTAAATTAATCCAATTATTGAGAAAATGTATCTAGATACGAGTAATATATCGGTGCCTCTACAAACTAGTTCACTAATTTATAAAATCATGAAATGGGGTGTAAACAAATTAACCCTACAATGAGTTCAACAAAATAAAATTACTTAAGAGGCTTTGAACATATTTCATGACACATAATGATGCATACGAATTATTTTCGAGAAATAAATGGACACACATACATAATATGTGATATTTGACGTATATTTGTGTTTTTCACTTGTTTTTCCATGTGCACACACTAATGTGGATTACAGTTTTCCTATTCTTACCCAGAACTGAAAAAGTTTACAATTTTGCTTATTTACACAATATGTATATGAGTAATTGATATATGTATGTATCACAAGAGCATGATAGGGTTATTTAACCATCGTAATGAAATTTATTCAACATTCCAATAATATAAAAATTTCTCTTTATTCGCGGAAATGAAAAATAAAAATAAATTTTTTTAAATGATTCACGTGTTTTTTCTGGTCATATTCTTCTTAATTTTTTTTTGTCTTTTACTATATAGACGAACTTTAATTCCATTACCAAATTAATTTAAATAAATTCTTATAATATTAAAAACTTTTGTATATTAAATTGAATAACTGTGAGAGAAAAATAAGAGCACATGTTTCAAAACGATGCTATCATAGATTTAAGGTTATTATTTTAATGAGAGCGCATTAAAAAAATATTGTAGATCTATTTTAAGCACTTTTCCAAAAAAATTTTTGAAAAAACGTGCTTATATAAGTTTCACTCTGTCCGGTTGTCCGTCCGTCTGTGAACATGTTTACAAAACTTCTACACCCTTGAAGATAGAAAGCTGAAATTTCATATGTACATAGATTTTTACTAGAAACTTATTTCAGTAGAAGAAGATTTTTACCTATTTCCCCTACCTCTAAAAGTTGTACTACGCAAAATTTTAAAAATGTCTTTTTTTAGCTATTTATTGCAGTGAAACCATAAGTATTTTTAAAACGCAGAAAAGCAGTGGATTGTTTCTTCTACTACGGCATACCGTTTCAAGTTCAAAAACAAAATGGCCGTTAAATTTTACCGTTATCTATTAGACTCCAGGTTCTAAATATTTTCACTTGTTGAACGGAAAAGTGCTACAATACAAACTATTGGTTTGATTCAACTTTATTAAAATATGCGTCACACTTAATTTTTTCACATTCATATTTAATTTAAAATATTCAAATTTTTGGATTGTAACAAAAAGAGTAGTAAAATATAATTAATTATATAAGTATAATAAATATGGCGATTTGAGAACTCACTTTAATATTTAAATTTGCAAAATAAACTAATAAATATTTTTTTATTATGAATTTTTATTTTATATAGCCATTCCCATTTATTCTTTATTTAAAAAGTTAATAATTTTTTATTTTTCTTTTGTATAGCTATATAATTTTTGGCAATAATTTTAATCTCATTCCATTTTTTCGTTTTTTTTTTTAGTTTTGGAGGACTTTCGCATTATATTATGGTTTTGTATATATGAGTTTCTGTTAAAGAGAAGGTCATGGCTTCCGGCAACAAAAATTGTACAATGGTATTATAAAATATGAATAAATTTTTAATATTTAAATAAAATTATTGAGGTTTCTGGGATTATTAAAATCGATTTATATAATTTCAACATTTCTTCAAATTTAAATTAAATGGAAGTAATAATTTTTCATTATAAAATAAAGTAAATTATTACAATTTTATTTCCATTTAATTATTATAAACTCACCTTGATCATTTTTATCTTTGATTCTAATTTTAATTGAAATATTTTTAAAATATACAATAATAATAAATTAATTAAAAATAAAATTATATGCTTATTTTAATTTTATAAAATATTTATTAAATTTTTCTATTTACCTTTGTCATATTAAATTTCGGCATTGATGGATATTTTGGACATCTTCCAAATCCATAACCATTTATAATATTGAAATTAATTAATAATAGAAATAGTGTTAAGAAAATTTCTTTTTTATTTAAAATTAATTCCATAATTTTTATTTTTAACATTAAAACTCTTTTTGAATCTACATAGAAGAAATATAAATGTAATTAATAAATTTTTTAATTCAAGTTTTTGTAATTTCTTTGTAATTTTATTTTTTTTGATAATTTTAAATAATATTCGAAAATAATTGAATTTTAAGAATTAAAATTAAAAAAATTGCAACTTGTACATTTTGGTTACGAAATTTATGAATTAAAATTAAAAAATTTTTAATTTTTTTCAAAAAAATAAAATATTAGAAACTTTACAAATGTAAAATACTTAAGAAAAAATTAAAATATTTGTGTTATTGTTACATAAAAATGTTGAAAAACTTGTAAAGTATGTTATTTATGTTATATTATTAAATTCTGTGGTTATAAGCAAAAACTAATTAAATACGGTTTGGTAATGTTCTTTAATTTGCTATATGATTTCGAATTTCTTGAAATTTTAATTGTATTAAATAATATTGTAAATTTTATCACGATACCGTACATAATATTCTTGTTTAGTTTGGTTTACATATTATGTTCCCGCAAGTATTGCCTTAAAAGTCATGAAAAATTGTGAGTGATAAAAAATTTTTTAGCTTTCATACTAAGCCGAATTCGATCATTCATTTTTTTTGAAAATTCATTTAAATTGGAATTCTTTATAATATTTAAGCTTTTAAATTCTTTAGATATGAGAATATATAAAAAAACTAAAATTGTTATTTTATAAAATTGTAATTTTGAACGTATTTTACTCAATTATCTTAAAGCATTTTTGATAAGGAATTAAAAGGTTTTAATGTAAAAGTAATTTTGTTTTAAAATATAATAAATTTTTTTTCTATTCAATTAATGTTGAATATATTATAGAAGAAAGTGGACTACATAGAAATAATATATTGCATACGCACTAAAACTCGAAAATATCAAACAATGCTATAATTTTGATCATGTTTGGGAAGAATTCATTTGTTGACTTCAAAATTATAGCGCATGTTGGATGTGTAATTGTACTGTTTCTTAAATGAGGTAGGTATATATGTATATAAACTGTCACAATCACTTTATGAAGAAGTTTATAAAACTCAACATTATTATGACGTATTATGTATAGACATAATAACGTCAAATATGTCTGCAATTGCATTATAAAATTTTAAATATTTTATTTAAAAAATCATAAAATCAAAAAAAAAATCTGAAAATGCCATTCACAATAATTTTATTTAAATTTTTTGTTAAAATTTTAAAATTTTGCTATTAAATAATTCTCGTTATCAATAAAAAATGCTTTCAATTTAATAATTACGCAAGATTAATGCACAAGAATGTGCATTGAAAATATTTTTGTTTATTTTTTTTTTCTATTTTATTTACAATATTCTCTTTGTTTTTGTTTTGCCAATAAACGTGATTTTTTTTTCCCGAATAACCAAACCACTTTCAAAACACAAGCGTGTATATATAAGATTACTGGCACAACAACTTTATATTTTATTAGTGTTAAAAAATGTGTAACCCTTAAAAAAATGCAGCTGTTGCAATTAAATAATATAATGAAAAAACAAACAACAAAAAAAAAAAGGAAATAAACAAAATTGTATTTACAAAATCACAAAATAGAAAAAAAAAGAAAAATAAAATTAAACCGGTAATAAAAGTCCGTAACGATTTCCGTTTGTTTATACCTTAACGTTCGTTTTCAAACTAAATAAATTTTTCAAAAAATTTTCATTTTTGGTTAACATTTAAAAGTTACAAATATACCAATAAGAATAACACAGACGACAGTATACATACATATAGGTAGGCAAATATAATGTAGAGATGTGTGTAATAAAAATTAAAGTTAGAGAAAAATGAGGGGTTAAATAAAGAAACATTATAGAAAAATGTTAGTTATAGCTGACATTTAAACAGGTGAAAAAATGTTATACAAAGAGTGAGAACGAAAAATAACTAAAAGCATAAGACATAAAATTATAATTTCTGAATTTCTGATATCTTTAGGGTATATATATATGCAGTTATTACATATGAGTTATTCAACGACTATACGCCTGACTAAGAGAGCGTTTACACTCTCATGTCGCTCTATATATTATGAACTTTCAAATCATTTTAATTTGTGACGCCAGTGGTTTTTTAAAGTTTTTTTTTAAAGTGGCATGAGTTTTCATTAATGAAAACATTTCAAATAATTATCATAAATATTCTCTGGAAAATAAAATTACTCCTCCCCTTCCCACCGCCGGGGTGCGTGGAGGGCCGCACCCGCTCGAGATTCACCGCCCTATATATTATACTCTGAATTGTCATAAATGTTTTATTAACAATTTTTATTAATATTACATTTTGTTTTTAAATATAAATTTAATGAAATTTTGTAATAATTTCAAATTTTAATACATTCTAAATAGAAAACAAGAATCATAATGGTTAATTTAATTTTATAGAGTTGTTGGTGTGTATAAAGAAAGTATGCATGTATACATATATAATAAATATACATATATTATGCCACCATGCCACTAATATCATTTCGGAATAGTGACATCTATCAACTGATAGATTGAACATCTTGTTTTAAATATTACCGTACACAGTTTGAGACTCACTATAAATTTTAAAAATATTGGAATGAAATTATTCGTTAAATTATTTTGAGAGTTTGTGATTCTTTTTATTAAATTAATTTTTTTATTTTGTTTTTATTTCCAGTACATTACGGCTGTTTAAAATGTATTTTTATTCCAACTTCGTAAATAATTATGAAAACCATCTATTAATGGAAACAATATCGAAAAGAATAATTAAATTTTAAGAACACGAATAAGTCAAATGTCAGTCATTATCACAAATAAATTCGAAATTGAGAAAAAAACACTTAGTATAAGTGCTACAATCAAGTGAGTATCAAGTATTTTGGAATACTTTATATATTATATAACTTATGTAGCTATACTACATAAGTATTTTAAATTCTACAAAACGTTAACACTAGAATTCAATTCGCCATAAGAATTTTACTGTTAACTTAAATTAAAATAATAGTGTTCTCATTATTGTTTATTTATTATTGAGTAGTAGCTGTTAATAGAATTTAGTAGTAGCTGTTTCATTAAAACAAAAAAAAAGGAATAAATTGTGAAGTGAATAAGAAAAGAAAAAAATATAAAATCTACAATATAATTTTAATTAATAAAAGCTATGAATTTTAATTTAATAAAAAAATATTATAATATTATAGTAATGGTGGTCAAAAGAAACCATAAGGCCTTGACATGTTTGAAATTTAAAATTTGGCTCACCTACATGAAAAAGTAATTTCGAAAAACAATTTTTCATTTATCACCACTAGATGGCTTTATAATTTTAAATTATAAAAATGGAAATGTCAAATCATTTACACTTGAATAATTCTCCTTGTATATAATAAGATTGGTTCAGAGTTTATCATTTCTAACTGCTCTCTCTATATTGGGACTGCTCCCTAGAAGTACATGAATATTGTAAGTGACATAAACCATATTTTAGTGTCTTCTTTTTTTTTTACCTTTTTTTCTTTATTTTCATGAAATTTTCATACAAATTACATATATATATATGATTTTACTAATTTATTTAATTAAATTTACTTTTTTTTTTCTCACTTTAATTTTCATTGTTTTATTCATTACAGTTTTTATATATTTATAAATTATTTAAAATACAAGTATAGTTGTTTATTATATAATTAAATTTTTTTTTCAGATTTTATAAATGGGTTGTTGCACATCTTTAAGAAATGTTTTTTTTTTTTTTGTTATAATTAATTTTATTATTTTTTATAAGTAAATTTTAAATTTTTATTTTTCCTCTTTTTGTTTTTAAATTACACATAAATTTTATATATTTTCATCTTAATTGATATTTATTTTTTAAATTATATTTATTTTTATAATATTATTTACTTGACTTATAATTATCAAAGGAAAACAAAAAAAAAAAAAAAAACAAAAATTTTATTTTCTTTACATTTAATTTTTTAATATTAAATTTTTTAATTTTGTTTTTGTCTTATATAAATTTGTTATACATATTACGTTTTAATTATAAAATTAAGATGGTCGTTGTGCTTATTATTTCTGTTTTTATAATTTTATGTCTTTTGTATTTTTGTTTCATATTTGTTTTTTTTTTTTTTTTTTAAATATTATAAACTCTATTATATTATGTATATTTGGTTCTAAAATAAATAATTCAACTTAAACTTCTATTTTGAATGTTATTATATGATGGACGAAATTGGGGTTAGAATTATAAAGTTGATCATACCATATTTTATGAAATTTTAAAAATAATTTAAAGTTAGCTCTATTTTGAATTGAATCTGATAAAATAAATAAAATTTTTGAGAATAAAATCACAAGATTTATGATTGTGAATTTTATTGTATTACACCAAGTATATAATAATTAAATAGTAAAGATCAGGGTTAAATTTTATTCGAAAATAATTAAAAAAAAAAAAAGAAAATGTGTTAATTTTCCAATTATACCATCAATTCTGCAAATTGTCACTGGAAAATGTCAATTTTAATTCACAGTTTTTATTCTTATTTTTTTGACAGCAAAATTTATTTATTGACAGAGAATACAACATTAATTATATTCATTAACAAAAATGTTTTCACAGATGTCACTGCAATAGATTTTTTTGCTTTATATTTTATATTTTTAAAGATTTTATTTTTTATTATTTAAATAATTTTTTTAGTTTTTTAAATTTTTAAAAAGTATATAAAAATGTTTTTTTTTTTTAAGTAAATTGTTTGTTTGTTTTTTTTTTTTGTTCATTTGTCTTAAGTGTTTGTCTTAATCTTTAATTTGGCAGTGTATAAAGATATAAATTTCAATTTTTGTTTTCATTTTTAAATATTTAATTTAATTTTTCATTAATTCGATTTCACTTTTTTTAATTTATTTTTTGATTATTTTAGTAATTTATGTTTTTTTTTTGTTTATTTTGTAAAATTATGTTTTAATAATATACGAAAATCGGAAAAATACGATATTAATTACTAACTAATTGATCTTAATTTTGAAATATTTTATAATATATAGATATATCAATTAAGTATAACATAATTAATGAAAATTTTTTATATATAAATTTTAATTAATACTTCTTCATTGGAATTAAAACAATTATAGAATTAATGAGTTTGTGTTATAGAAAATGAAAAATCCGATATTACAAATACGATAAAACAAATATAAATATATTAATACAAATATATATCAATAAAAAAACACTTTATTTATAGTGGTGTATAACAGTTTAGAACATTTCAATTTATACCAGTTTACTTAAGGGATATTTCCACAAGATACTCGATACTATCAGAAGAATAGGTTTCACGGGAGTGGTTTATGGGTGATAGATAGAAGGAGGACACAATAGTTACACATCTTAGGTCGTAATTCATTGTTGTATTATGCCTAATATAACATAATACACTATAAGGGCTTTAGAAGAAAGAAATAATAAAAATAGTGTTATACTTATTCCTGTAGATGGCTTCATATTTTTATGTAAGTATATTATGTAGAAAATAAATATGAAATTTTTGATAGGTTCGTTTTTACTCTTTTTAAACAAAATTACGATACTATTGTTTACCGTTATATTTATGAACCATCCTTAAATCACGGCTAATCTAAAATTTCACTTAATTAAATTAGTTTTTTTTTATAATATATCGTACTTCGTAAGTTTTGACATTTGACAAGAGTGCCATTGACGTTTAAATAATTTTCATTTTTTTTTCTCAATTTTTCAATTTTATATTGAAAATTAAATTAAAATAAGAAGAGAATAATATCCGGTATTTTTGATAGCTGAAATGATCTTCCATATATTTACCTACAGAGTGTATAAAAATTCATAGTTTACATTTTAACTATTTTTAAAGTTTTGAATTTTTTTAATGAAGAAGTATTTATTTATATTTATAATTATTAAAGATTTCTACATTTTATTTATATATATTTTTTTATTTTTTAAATTTAAACTAAAACTACTCAAACAATAATAATTGATAATATAACAATAAATACAGATTTTTTTTTACATACATATTGTAATATTAATTTTTAATATAATTATATAGAATTAAAAATGAATAATCAATTTTTTTTTTTGTTTTAACAATTTTAATTAGAGAAATGAAAAGAAAAAATTTAAAATATTTTTTGTTTTCATTTGAATTTTAATTAATAAATTAATTTTTTTTTTGTTTTTAAATATTAGAAAAAATTTTCTCTAAATATAAAGAATTTATCAAGATTTTTTGTTTTCTTGTTTTTTTAAGGTACAATTATAGAACAATTTCGATTTCGATTTGATTAAATTATTTGATTTTTAATTGTTTTAAAAAATTTTTGTTAATTCTATATAATATCTATCAGGCCACCGCCACCAAGCTGAAAATAAAAAATTTATCCAAATTGCATCCAGCCTCGTAAAGTAGAGTTTAAATTTGGTGCAAATAACATACAACTTATATTGCATTTTATAATTGTTAAATTATATTTCATTTAAAAAAATATACGTTCTGTAGCTGCTGAACTATTCGGTAGAGATTTAAGTTTCATCATGAAAACTGACAAATTTTAAAAAAATATGTTGTACAACCGATGCATTTTCTGTTACACCTA